GCTTGCACGATGACCTAAATCTGATGTGATGTCACATTCTGGTTATGTTATCAATGGACATCGATTTCACACAACCGATGTTAGCAGAAGTACACAGAATAGTGGTGTTTCTATTGAGGCGCAAACTATTTGCCGATCTAGTGTGAAGGATACAAGTCACGTAGTTGATAAAATTTCTTATTATGGGGTTACAAAAGATATAATTCTACTAGACTATCATAGTTTTAAAGTTCCTATGTTTCATTGTGATTGGGAAAATATAGATAGCGGAATCAAGATTGAAGAAGGGTTTACGCTGGTTAATCTTCATAGAGGACAACATCAATTTGAAAGAGATCCATTTACTTTAGCATCACAAGCAAAACAGGTTTTTTATTCTAGAGAAAGTGATACTTCTATTTGGTATATTGTATTGAAGGCACCTCCTAGAGGATTTTATGAGTCAGAAAATTTTGATGAAGATGCTTATACTCCATCCACATTAAATGCATCATTAAGAATTGATATGACTACTGAAGATGACGGCTATGTGAGATATGACTGTGAGGGCATTGATATTGAATAAGGTAACTGTATAGATTTAAGATTCTTTCTTTCTTGCGTTATTTTTATTGATATTACATTAATGTTAATGTCTCTAATTCCATTATTTCTTAATTTATGTATATAGATGCAAATGATGAAAGCTGAATTTTGTGGAAACTGATGTACAAATGTCCGGACATAATATGTCAGATCTTGGTAAAGTAAGTTATGAGGTTGTATATAAGGGTTTAAAATGTTTTTATGTTAAATTTAAGCAAAAAAATGTGTTTTTCTTATTTCTGCAATGCAGTCATCTAATCAAGGATACAACAAATCAAAATGAGCTAAAAAAGCTTTAGTTGTTGCTGCCACAAGAGAAGGAAATGAAGGCATAAGAGTATCAGAGAGAGGTTCTAATTCCATGCGACATGATGCAGAAGTCTTGCCTAATAGCGTCAATACTACTGAAAAAGGAAAGAAAGGAAGGGGTCGAGCAAAGCTAAACTATCTCAATAAGGGAAAATGTGCAAAGTTAACTGTAGAATTTAATGAAAGAGGTCAACCAATTTGTAAAGAGTCAAATAAGTTATCATCATTCCTTGCAACCACAGCTAGGGAACTTATATCTATTACAAAGAAAAATTTGAAAGATTTCAGCGAAAGTTTTCTTGATGACATATGGGAGCTTGTGCAGGTGATATAAACTTCACATCATATATAGTTTAAATTAAATTAATATTAATCTTACATATTTTGATGCAGCAATGGTTTGATATTGACATTTGTCATAGAAAGTACATTATACGAAAATTGGGAAAGAGTTGGAGAGATCATCGATCTAATGTGCTGAAAACAATCAGCGACAAAGGAAGAACAATTGGCATGAAACGAGCTGTTGCTCTCCTCAAGCCAGATAACATTGACTCAATGGAAGAATGGCATGTATTTGTCAAAGAACGCAATTCTCAACCATATAAGGTACGTTCCATTGCTTTTATATACTAAATGTGCCATAATGTTGTGCTTGTACTATAATTGTTTGATTTTGCAGGAAAAGAATGATAGATTCAAAAAGATGAGAGCTAGTCAAACTATGTTGCACACAACGAGTAGAAAAGGCTTTGCTCGCTTAGAAGCTGAAATGGTAAAATTTATGTTACATTATAAGTTAAATTTGTTAAAAAATTTGTAAATATGTACAAACTAACATATATACTTCTTGGTCAAAACAAATCGCAGCGTATTGAAAGTGAAGACCCTGATTCCATTAAGAGAAATGATATTTATATTCGAGGACATACGCGAAAAAATGGTGGATCAATTAATGAATCAGTTGGGGAAACATTGGTAACGATATTGGTTTTTGAATTTCTTTTTTGGTTATTTATCAGTTTATATTTGCATTACTTTAAACCATTAATGTATTTCTCGATATCAGAAAAAAAATAAATGCTTGTTCAGAAACAGTTACCTCTCCAAGTAAACATTCTCTCAAGGATGATAGTGTTGCAAGAACACATGGTCCAGAACGTCGAGGATGGGTAAGAGGGCTTGGCTTCGGTGCAACTCCTTCAAAGTTGAATGCTTTGGTACATAGTCAGAACATGCAAACTCAAGTACAAGAGTTAAGAGATGAAATTAAAGAATTAAAAGCTTTGTTTCAACAGAAGAGTAAAAGTGTTGAACAAGAAAATGTAAGTTTGAAACTCTCGTTACTAAATGATATTATATATTTCATATTCTTTTCTATATTCAAATTAACAAATTGTACTTTCATATGAATTTTACAGCATAGTGATAGAAGCTCGAATGGTTTAGATAGCCTTCAGAGTAAAAAATGCAAATTGTTATGTTGGTTTGGGGAAGCTGATGTAGTTGCGAATGGTGAAATCGAATCAAAAAATCCTTGTGATCTAGTGCATCATGTACCTCTTGGCAATGAATGTTGGAGAGTTTGGGTTAATGAAGTGATTGACAATGTTACCTTATATCATCCCACACGTGAGCTATTTATTCTTGAAGATGCATTAGGAAGTACAATTGCATGGTCAATCAGGTTCATCAAAATGGATTTGCTGTAAGCACAATAAATGTATGCTTTACTTTTTTTTTATATCATTTTTCATTTGCGTACTTACTTTAATATATTAACTATACCCTCATTTATTTTTGTGATGTGCAGGGAGTTGATTATTTTTTGGATAACAAAATTATTGATCAAATTAATCAAAATCAATGTGGATTAATTATTTTGTACTATTTTGATTACTTGTTTTTGGAGTAGTAGTTCATACTTTTGGATGTTGATATAAACTATTTTGAGTAGGCTACTGATGTTCTTAGTTCATTTCTAAATTAACTCGACATTTGTATTGGTTTTATTTTCTAAAATTATGGGAGAAGTTATTATATTTGTGTTTATATTGGGAATTATGTTCTTTAATTATTATAGGTTTAATGGTTATCAAAAAATAAATATTTAAAAAGAAATGAATCTTTATAGCGTACAAAATGTGAAAGTCATATACAATTTCATTATTTTTACGGCATGCTAGTGCATGTCATAAACAAAATGAGACAACCATTTACAACATACAAAAATGTTTGCCTTAAAAAATAGTATCTTATTTACGGCATGCAGAGTCATGCCATAAAAGGTTAAGCATTTATAGCATGCAAAGAATGTCGAAAATAGTTTATTAACGGCGTGCTTCTTGTTTTTTACGGCATGCAATGCATGCCGTAAAAAGATATGCATATTTACGGCATGGCTTTATACGGCATGCGACTGTATGCCGTAAAGTACTTTTTAAGGCATGCAATGCATGCCGTAAAAAGCAAAATCTGTTATAGTGATGACTCTCCTCATATAAGGTACTATGACGACCTCAAGTCAAAAAATCAATCCCACTACTGAACGTTAGATATTAACCACTGACACTCAGATAGTTATCCATGTGGAATCTCTAGACGGGTCTCCAATGTTTTGTTCCATAACAAAACATTCACGTGTTCATTCAAGTGTCATCATACTTTAACTTGTGAGATCAGCTACTTACTTCACAAGTAAGAAATGCCACACGTGATGGTCTATCTGTAATCACGATATCCGTATCTCATTATTACTTACGACCACGAACGATTTAAGATTCAATCATATGTAATTTGTACACACAATCACAATTCCTTGTGATTAACAAATTACGAAAATTTGAATCTACGGACTCTATTATTTAATTTAATATATAGTTAATTAAATAATAGATCTGCCATTAAATCATATTAATTATATATTAAAAGTATTTATGTCCAAAGTTGATTGGATCTAGGGCATAACACTTACACATTCTACTACATATTAAAAATGATAACATTTATCACCTTTTAAATATTATATTAGATAGCATCTATCGGCTATTAAATATTGTCCCCGTTTGAGCCCCATTAAATTTATAATACATTTTTTCTCTTTTCTTTTTAATCATAAGTTCTCCAATAAAATAATATTACACATAAATTAATAACTTTTCATTTTTTTCAACACCACATTCTCCAAAAAAACACTATTTCAAAAATTATAACATCAAATAAAATCTGTATGATTGATTGTTGTAACTCAGCAGAAGTTGACATAGAATTAAACACTTGTATGCCTTTACATTATATGCCTATAAATACACCACTCAAAAGATCAATAGAAGTGTGATTATTTCTCAATTAACTTCATTCTTCTTTAGATTTTACGTGGTATCAGGACCTCAATCCAACAAGAACTCTATGACCAACGAGTCACCACTACTACTCCATCAATGACTAGCCACACCCCTCTCAGTCACTAACACTGCCGCCACCGCTTCATCATCTTCTTCTTCTACTATTTGTCATTCATCTCTATCAATATCACTGCTCAAACACCCCTTAAGCTTACCACTTCAAATTACACCTGTTGGAGAATCCAATTTCATGCCCTTCTTGTTAGTTATGTTTCTGTGGGCTGTAACCCATGTCCACTGATATGTGTATTTAATACACTTATTAGGGCTTTGAAATATTAATATTTCATTGTTCTTTTGATAAATTATATCCTAATTTAGCTTATAGTTCATTTATTAGGAGAAACTCGATAAATGGATGTGAAATTAGAAGAAATGAGCAAAAAAGGAAAAGTCCAAAGTTTGAGGACCAAATTACAAATATTCAATAGTTCTTTATATTGAAATACAGAAGTAGAATTATCCAGAAATTAAAAAAAATCGATAAATTAGATCGTCTAGATGTTCACGTGTATGTTATATTAAGAATAAAGTATTTGAATTTTTACCTAAATTCAATAATCAATTTTTTAATTAATTCTGAATCACAAACTACAAACTTTTTAGATCACGTACTTACAACTTTTTAATTCCAATAACTTAATACGTCAAACTTCCAAGTTTTCTATGATATTCTTCAAAGTTAAAACTACACTGATAGGTGAGCATCTTCTTTTAATTAAATCAAGAAATCAATTCTTGAATGGACAATTGAAGAAGATAAGAGAATAATTTTCTCTCTATTTTTCTCCATCCAAACTTGAACTGTGTAGAATTATGTATTATGATTGTTGTAGGAATTCTAAGTTTTATCTAGTCGCTATTTATAGAGATAGAATAGTTTCAATCCTTATAAAATAATAATTCCATATTCAAATAGGAGTTTTAATTAAAATCCAAGTAGTAGTTTTAATTGAAGTCTAAATCCAATTATTTTACATTTAACTACATGTGTAATCCTAGAACTTCAATTATAATTATAATTAAGTTTACAACTTTCATAGTAATTATAACTAAATACAAAAATTTATTGTAATTATAATTAAGTCCAAAACTATTATAATTATCGTAATTAAGTTTCAATACTTCATAGAGCTACCGCAGGGTCTAATCGAACATATATTATCTAAATTTCAATAATTAGATCCTTTATAGCCTACCCTCGACCACTTAACCTAGGCAAAATACTAAACTCTTGGAATATACAAGATCACATAAACCAATTAATCTATAATACTTTCCTCAGACCTATTGTATATGTATTTTATTCTCGTTCGGGATCCGATAGTTAGGAACGAGCAAAAATGACAGTTTTGTCCTTCTAATCATTCTCACTAATTTAAGTATCATTTTTTTTACGACCCTGTGAACTAATATGTCAAAGTTTAATCGTCGCTATTTAGTGAGCTCAAATTTTAATTGTTCAACAGAAAATACTTAAGTAGTCATTCTCCCCATTTTTAGGGTGATGGTTCTCGATACGAATTCATGTTCTCTACTTTGCTCATTCTCAAATTTTCAACTCATCAAGATATTTGACCAATCAAATTGATCTCAGTCATTGATGAATCAAAGCACCATTAAAATCAAGAAAAGATATACATAATCCTGTCAATGGATTTAAATGAAATACACAACGGTCAAGTGGAATTTAATTTTTCACACGGTCATACTATAAAATTAAACTCGACAAGTGTTTCGCGCAATACTCTCCAAATGTACTATTGTCATCTTTAATTATTTCTGTGATAAGAAAAAGTCACAAACTTGAATAATGAATGAGTTAACATTACAATCTTTCAGTACAAGATGTCAACCCTTATACGTAGATCGTGAACAAATTATTTATTATCAATATATAAATTATGCCACAGCGTTCTTCTCAACACAAGTACCCAACTTATATTATCACAAATGATCGTAGGTACTTCAAATTCACATGCTCAATAATAAATAATTGCAATAAATAAAGTAAAAACAATTTTATTTGATATAAGAATATTGTCATTTTTACATTAGCAAAACCATACTATATAGGCACACAACCCAACAATTTCGAACCACAAAACAATAATTGAAGGTTGTTAGGGGGTCAATTGGACACAATTAGAAGTCAAAAACAAATGAAATATGATCAAAGTATTTTCACAAATAAATTTCAAATCGCAAGTTATATTCTAATTTTTTAGTCAAAAATTGAGACCTATTTTTGGCATAGTAAATGTTTGAATTGGAAAATTCTAAATCCAGAAAAATTGTAGCCCTTTGAGTTATATTTTCAACGTACTTTAAATCACCTCAATCAAATATTGAAAGATAAAGTTATGGCAAAAAATACTGACGGTTGTGCAGAGATGAAAACATACACCAAGAATGCAACTTTTCTTATTCGATTGGAACTCTTTTGAAGATCAATTTGGATGTAATTTCAATCAATTTTCAACTCCTACAAATACCTATCAGCGAAATACATTAGATACACTTTTCATACTTCAAATATACATCAATTATATCATCGTCAAATGGAGGTAAATT